GAATTTTTCTAAATAAATTCTTTATTTATTTTTCGAATTTTAATAATAGAAAGTAACAGAAAACACAATACAAGGTAAATAATTAACTTTTATACTCTGTTTGTCAAATTATTTTATAGATAGTGGAACTAATTAGTTTTTAGTCAAAATAACTAAAAAGTACATTTTTATTGTGTCATTCTATAGTGAATCTATATTAAATTAAAATTTTATTGAAAATAGTTTTGACTGCACCACATAAAATATTTGCTATTCAGTTATAAGAAAATTTTAATTTTAAAAAATTCTTGAGAAATTCAAAAAAATAATAAAAATACTTATTGTGTCCAAAAAAAAATATGTTTAGTTAAGCTAATACCAAAACTCTGTTAATAATTATTAGYTAGACATAAATATATTTATTTGATAAAATAAAACTAGTATAATTTAATATTTTAATTTTGTTGTAAAATCCAATGACAATACTTCAGGAATTTATAGATAAATGAATATTTAATGAAAATTTGCCATGTGCGTTTGTATGGTATCCAACAATTATAGGTTAATAATATAATGCACAGGTAATCATTATTTAAAATAAATAATAATAATAATTAATATAGACTTATAAACATTATTCATTTTAATTTGTGTAATAATAAACAAAAATATATTGAATTCCCACAAACCTGTCRTTTTTAAATAATTGATATTTCATGACAGATATCTTCTGATTTATGGCAAATTGTAAATTTAATCTTTAWACATTGTGATATATTACATTACATTAGTAAAATGCATAAAAGTATAGTTATAGTATGGAAGACAAGTAAGACTTATATAAATTAATTTAAAAGAATCACAAACTAACACACAACTGTGGGCGCCCCTATGATTTAGGTTAATATGAATGTGTACATTGTATACAAAAACTCTTATTCAGATAATAAAGATTAGCAAACCTGTTTTTGGACTTTCCGAAAATCATTATGCACTAGTCATTATTATTTTAATATAGTATTGTCAACTTAGTAGAAGGTAAAGCAGCACAGGTGTCCTGGTAAGTACATAATAATATTATACATCTTCAAATTCTATATTTTTTTTATATTATAGTTTTTATTGTAGTTAATAATTTAATAATAAAATAGTTTTATAATATAATATAAATTTAACATTCGATTCAAATTATAAATGTTTAAGATATAATTCATTATTTTACATAAAAATATATATTTCTAATTATTCAATTACGATAATAATCATCTTTCTNAATATTATTATATACCTAGGAAGATTTTTTTTTTAAACCTTTTTTTATTCCTAGTTAAGTTTTTAAAATTATCAAACTTATTATAACTGCACTCTTGCTTATGGTTTGAGATAGTCGTTCAAATTATTATTTTATTTAAATTATATTTATATAGTTTGAAATATGTACAAATACAATTATTAGTTAATACATATGAAATAATATCATGTTCAAATCGTTCACGATAATAGTGCTATCAAGATCTTGAACGTTGTACTTTTGAAATTACTGTTTCAATAAAACAACTATTATTGTGATTATTATTATTATTATTATTATTATAATCATCTTTTTGTCATATATTTGTTCTTGTATTTTCAATATTTATAACTCTTAGACAGTTACGTTTGATATATTAYATTTTGACATTTTGTACATTGATTTTTTTTGTTAAAATATAATAAAAAAAAATTAACACAAATTTCAACAAATTAGTTTTATATTTTATACCCTATAAAAATTCTGTGTCTAGTTTACACTATAGTATGAGTTTTACATTGATAWWTAAATATATATATGTTTTTTTTACAGTTATTATTTTAACTATTATAAATTTATAACACAAACATCTTGTATGTTTACTTGGTAGAAGTTCTTGTACGTTTGTTCCATGAGAAGTTATTTGCATAAGACTTAGATCTTATGGGCCTGCTCTTTTGCTCTGCTTCCAAGTACCATTTCCAACCATTTTTCTCACAAAAATTGATGGCATCGGCTCTTTCACCAAACTCTAACTTCATGTTTGACAATGGATCACCACTAAAAATAGAAACAATCTTATTATGTTAATAAACTAATAATATTTAGCAAAAAAGATATACATACGTTGATGTCCAACCCATTAATGGATTTTCCCAACGCTCTCTGTTGTCAAATTCCATCACCCAATTGTGAGTATTATCAGTACCGGATTGCATAACATTTTTGGTAGCTTTGCTGATTTTCACCAGACGAGTTTTGACATGTTCTTCGGGTACACCAGTAACAGAACTCAAATCTAACTAAATATTAAGAAAATTCAAAAAAATACAATTATGACACAGTTCATCAACAAAATTTAAAATTGGCATACTTTACAAATAGGATAGGTACAGAYTATTGTCTATTACCTCATTTGAAATACAAATTATACTTTACTATAAAACTGATATAGTATAAAAATAAATATTAATTGAATACATATTATTTTTTTTTCATTATTAAAAAGAATTAGAATATGATACTAATATAGTAATATATAATATAATATGCCTATTTTATTTTATATAAGATTAATATTTCATGTTTAATTAAATTCTTAAAACTACATGCATTAAAGATTTTTAAGAGCAAATATCAAGTTGCTGACAAAAAGGTAAGATACATATTTTGAATGGATGCATATAACTTGTGTCCCAAAAAAATTAAAATTAGGCAGTTGGTAAATACAATAGCTAACTTGAAAATTGGATGAAGCAAAATAATAAAAATTATCAATATAATGTATTGAATAAAATTTTTATAATCATGTTACAGCTGATGTAATTATTTAATTCTAATTTTAATCTGAAGTTTAACACATTTTTATGACAATTTATTACTAAAATTATTATAGGTACATAATTATATTATAATTATTTACATTCAATTTTTTTTATAAAATTAATCATGATTATTTATATAAATTATTATTTTATTTAAATTTTAGCTATGCAATTGTATTAAAATGAAATAAAGAT